TTCCCGGGTCAAGTCCGACTATATGAAAAAAACCGGTTTCCCTGAAACCTTCACTAAATATTCCCCGTCACACTCCAACAGACTGTCGGGCCCAAGTATATTCGTTCCCCTTCACTCCTTCTAACTGCCATGCACGCTTGTGGAAGTCCAAGCCCCCCCCCCACAAAAAATTTCCCTTTACCCCTCTTTCCCAAACCCTTTTGAGGACGACCCCCACCCCTCCCTTTTTTCCCCTATAATTTATATGTTTTCCTGTCATTCTCTTTGATCCCTTTCTCTAAAAGACCAAACCCCCTCAAAAAACCCCCTTCTGCCCTCTGATAATACTTTTATTATCCACCCTTTCCTAATTTCCACACTCCAAAATTTTTTGCATAATATTTTCACCCCAAAATTGCCTTTGCAGGCATCTCCCCTGAATCCCAAACCCTTTCTCCCCTGTGCATTTACCACCCCAAACTTCACACCATATAAAGGTTGTATACTAACTTTCTAGATTCCCTTCTTTCCTCCTGATAAGTTTTTTTTTCCAATATTATTTTATACTCACCTTTTTTTCCCCCACAATTCTATGATTAACCTCATCCTTCTAAAACCATCCGCCGGGCACGTCAACTCCAAGTTCGAAAAAATTCACTTTTTCCCATACACTCCTCCCCCTTTTTATATCCAATTTTTTTTTTTATCTAAACATTTGATCCCCATCACCTTACTTTTTCTATGTTCACTTTCAACTTTCTACCTTTTCACACTTTCAAACTATCCACTAAACCCTTTTAATTTTTTCTTTAGAATCTCCCATAAGCCAGTATATCAGCAAAAAGTATTGTGTCAATTCCCATTTTGAAATTTTATTCCCTATTTTTAAACCCCCCCCTCTCCCAAACCCCTAGCATTCACTTCTTTACAACCCCATCTATAAAAATATTAAAAACCATGGTGACATTACACTCCCCGTCTAAGACCCACTTTTTCCGGGAAGCAATCTCCCCTCTTCTACACACCCAAAACCGAGCCTCACTATCCTCATTAAAAAGCTCTTTAAGCATTTTTTTAAATTTCCCCCTATTCCAAAACTTGACATCTGCCACATTGTCCTCTATCCCCTCTTTCATAGCCTTTTCAAAAACCTAAAAGCAATAAAAACTTCCCCACCTTTATTAAAAAATGTTAATAAGCTTAAATGTAAAAACTTGATTACACTCTCCCCCCACTTGAAGCCTCCTGCCATCCGCAAAAATCATTCTGTCTTACCCTAATTTTTTTCAATTATAGCCCCACCGTATACTTTTTGGTATATCAGTAAAAATTTTTCCTCTTAATTTTTCAATCTTTTTGTCCCCCCTTTCCCTTTTTATAAAGGGACTAACATGCTCTCCCCCAATCCCCAGGTACCTTCCCTCTTTATACATTTATTAAACAAAAATACCAACCACTCCAACAACTTATCCCCCCCCGCTTTTTAAAAATTTTGTAGATCCCTCTTTTCCCGCTGCTTTTTTCCCCCTTTTTTTTCTACGTAATGCCTCAGTACCTCCCCCCCTTACATTCTGTCTTCTTCACTCCCAAAAGATGGTTTCCTCCCCGGCCAGTGCTGAAATTACCCCCTCCCTTTTTTTCAACATTAAAAGTTCTCAAAAAATTCTCGCCCTCTACCCAAAACCTCCCCCTCCCCTCTACTAATACCCTACTCGTTTTTAAAAGACAAAACCTACTTTCCCTAGGCTTCTTAACTTGTTTAAATTTACTCCAAAATTTTTTTTTTTATTTTCATTTTAAAAATTTTTTTACGTGCCTTTCCTACTTATCATCGCTTCCTTTTGCACTCCTCAACTTCTTCACCTTTTTTTACTTCCATATACTCTGCTCTTCTATAACCTTCTGCTTTTTAAAAACCCCTTCATAAGCTACCTTTTTCTCTTTTATACACCCTTTACTTCATCTTCCCCCAAAACACTCCCCTTTCCTCCGCCCCCCCCTCTATAACCACAAAAATTCTCCCCATTCTAAAACTGCATTTTTTTAAAAATATTCCAACCCTTTCACCCCCCATACTCACGTTTTTACTACCCCCTTTCGCCAATAGTCGTTATATCTTGCCTGAACTTCCTCCTCCCCTTTGTTTATACACTTTCACCTCCCCCCCCTTTTTGTTTTGCCCCCTTCCTCTTTTCCTTTTACCCTTATTAACTGTGCTTAAATTTAAAAATGATCCCTTATCAGTTGCCCTTATAAACTGTACATCCTGGGGCCTACCCATCAACCTTTATCCCCCCAATTCACAACTAACAAACACTTTCTTCTGCTAAAACATACCTTGTATATTATTTATCCCCTTTTTCTAAAATATGTATTACTTATTACCAAATTTTTTTCTTACACATACCTAATTAAAGGCCCCCCATTTACATTTACCCTTGGGACCCCAAAAATTTTCCTACTACTCCCCCCATAACATTTTTACCCCTTTGCATTGAAAACCCAAACCCCCATTATCTCACACTTGATTCAAAACTCCCCCCCGCATTCACTCAAATTTCCCGAATCTCTCTCTTCCTCTACACTTCTCTCTTTTCCAGGTATACCACTTCATAAACCCACTTTTCACATCCAATCTTTATTTTATCCACATAATCCTTTAATTTACATTTGTTTTCCCCTTTTGCCAAACTTATCCTTCAACATTATTGCTGCTACTCCCTTTTGCTCTAAATCTATTTGAAACCCCCGCCAATCCCCTTTTTTCCTCTCCATGAAACTCTCCCACCCCTTCAGCTTTGTTTTCACTTAAAAACCCGGACATCCCGTTTTTTCTCTTCATAACATCCACATCATCTCTTTTTTATCATTTTCACAACATCCCCCACATTTAGACTTCCCACTTGACAATTTTCTTCTTATTCTTTTTAGTAATCTTTACAGGAAAAGGGGTTACTAGCCCATTGTTCCCGGCATTTTAGCTGACTTTTACAACACGCATGGCTTACGGAGGAAAGATTCTTATTCCACTTCCCCATGGATATAAAAGGAAAAGTAATAAGACCAAGAACTATTAAGATAAAATCAAAGAAAACTCAGATGAGTGTGTATAAATAAACGTGTACATGTATGTGTAGTGTGACCTAACATATGTTATAAATAATAATAGTACATATTATTAATAACATGTATGTTATTAAATACCATTGCCTCAATCACTGCCTCTACCACTCCAGTCACATTCAATCTACAAGCACCAAACACAGTGAATTATTGTGAAATGTTTGGAAGAGCAGGGAGACTAATGTTCACTCCAGCATAAACAAAGTCACACTGACGATGTGTCAACCACTCCCTCGTATTTTTGTACAATTTCCTTCTTCAATTATATATTTATTATTATTATTATTATTATTATTATTATTATTATTATTATTATTATTATTACTATTGTTATTATTAGCTGTAGCAGAAATGTTTAATTCTTTGCAGTGTTCATGAGTAAACACATGATGTCACCGTCTAATACCTGTCCGAATAGCCATTCCAATATGCAGTCATGAATGGGTTTACATTATTTATTCTGTAGTTTAATAGCAAATAATGAACAAACAAAACACTCACCACACTGAGTGGTGGGAGGGCTGGCTGCCAGTTGCGGGGGTCGGAGGGAGGGTAGTAGGGACTCACAGGTGGCGGGAACTTAAATATGATTTGGCGGCTGGGAATTTGGCGGTTGGGAATTCGCGAATGTGTGAAGCCCGTGAAAGTTGAAAACGTGAATGTTGAGGGAGACCTGTATACGAGTAGCGCATACAATAGGTTATCCTACTATGTTCCACAGTCAGCCCTCCTGGCCCTATATCACTCACTTATTTACCCCTATCTCACCTATGGAATTTGTGCATGGGGCTCAACAACAATAAACCATCTCAGACCATTAATTACCCAACAAAAGGCTGCAGTCAGAATAACAAATTCCCACTACAGGCAGCACACTCCACCAATATTCAAAACTCTAAACCTACTCACCATACAAAACATCCATACTTATTACTGCACCTACTACATATATAGAACACTTAACTCTGATATAAACCTTCCCCTAAAACATCTCCTTACCAACCTCAACAGAACACATGACCATAACATAACGCACAAATCACTCTTTGATGTTCCTCGTGTCCATCTCACGCTATGCAAAAATTCAATGCACATAAAAGGCCCTAAAATCTGGAATTCATTACCTGTGAATATAAAAGAAACACTGTCTGTTTATAAATTCAAGTCTCTTCTCAAAAATCACTTACTCACCCACAACTAAATAAATACTGAATAACTGTATCTCATAAATTTTATCTCATAAATGTTTCTCATTATTGTATCTCATAAATGTCTAACCTGTGACCCCAATCAAACTTTGTTATTTTTTAATTACATTACCTAACAGAATACTCCATTCTACTGAATGAACAGCAACACAGTAAATGACCATATGACCTGTCTTTGTAATACTCAGTTGTGCTAAATTGTTATCTGTTTACAATAATGCTTTTACAACTGAATACATCATTGCTTAGTTAATCTTAAGTTAATTTTAAGCCTGCCCATAACATTCTGCATACAAGGGGCTTTGGCATGTTGCACTTTAATAACTATATTCCTTTGTACTTCTCTATCATATTCAAATTAATAATTAAATAAAAGCACAGTAAGAAAGAGAAATAAGGAGAGCAGTGCAATATAAAACAGTTTACAGTACAGTATATAGAAACAGATTAATGTATGGCAACAAATCACACTAATTATGCAAGTAAAAATTTGAAGAACAGTATTGTATTGCAGTTATTAAGCAGTTAGTCAATATTAAAATCTTGATTAACTTCATCCTAGCTTAATCTATGTATTTCCTTTGGTTGGATATGAGAATGGTTTATAAATGCAGAGAATCAAAACCACAATCCATTTTTTTCTACATAGTTCTGCTCTGCTTAAGATACATAATTATGCCACAGTCTTACATTTGAAGTGTTGATGAGAAGAAACCAGGTTCAAGACACACCCAGCTTACTCTCTCCCTGTTGAATGCTAGATCCTTTTATCACTTTTCAAATGTGTTGCTCATTCAGTTTTGTCTAGTAGTCCCTTATGTCATAATTCTGCCTATCTTACTATCTCTAATTTAATTTGTCATTACACACAAAGTAATCAGTGCTTTATACAGTACAGTATATATAAAAAATATTTGCACAACCCTGGATAAGGTAAACTAAATTATAATACTGTAACTCCCTATGTGGCAAGTGGGCCAAGGATATCATTATCTACTGCCTTATCAGCTAAGTCCTCAAAATATACGTGACAGCTCAAGTCTCTCTTGAGCAGCAAGTTCTCATTAATAATGAGCTGTTACTTATTTCAAACACTGTACTGTACTAAAGAAATTATTACATTTTGTGGAGTGTTACGGAAGAAAAGTAACAAATATTAAAAGCCTTCACAAATTTAAAATTAGAATACCATTATGTTTTTTGTTTTGTCTAAGAGAATATAAATACTACTAATGTGGTTTTATTGCATTAGTGGTAAAGGGGAGTATCCAGTCTTTTACCTCAAACTCTCAATAGTTTTTAATTTTTTAACACACATTTGCCACCTCCTACCAAGGTAGGATGACTAAAACAAATTTACCATCATTCATTCAATCATTGTCTTTTCAGAAGCGTGTTGACATCACATTTCAGAACGCCCTCCAAACTACATCATCCTCACCCTCTGTACAGTGCAGGCACTTTAATAATTTAAAAAACCAACTTCCTCATCTCCTCTATCTACCTACACCACAAATGTAAAACACATGTTTATCAAAAATACCTAAAAATTACCAATAAAATAAAATTTTATAATAATAATAACAGCAGATGCTAATTACACACCTCAGCAAATTTTAAAAACTTATGAAAGTGAGATGCACAGGAAAGGGATGCAGTCAAAAAACACTCGTATAAAGAGACAAGTAGGCAACTCCAGGATTAAAGGCAGCCAAGAATCAACATATAATTCTGGAAGACAACACACTGAGAAAATTCCAGCTGAAATACCTATTAGGGCAATACCACTCTGAAATTCCATGAGCTGCTGCTCCCAATGTGCAAACCCAATCTCAAAACCCATAACGTTACTCTATAACAGTGTCCAATGAAAACGAAGCAGATCTCAGCAAAGAGACTAAACAACGCCTGGCTTACAAATAGTATACCTAAATCCATCTATAAAAAAAATCTATGTGAAAAACAATTCAGACAAGGCCTAATAACTAAAGAACTAACTAAACAATACACCAATACTTAATCTAATATGAAAGTCCAAACAAATGAATTATGTAAACAGATTTAACCCTTTGACTGTCGCAACCCCAAATCCTGAGGTGTCTCCTGGTGTACCTGGAGTTTACCTGGAGAGAGTTCCGGGGGTCAATGCCCCCGCGGCCCGGTCTGTGATAGAGAATCTTTTCCTGACAGTAATGACACCAAAATTACAAAATTTGATGGAAAACTTATAGAATTATGCTCTGGCGAAGTTAGCGACCTCGGCAATATTTATGAATCGGCGATTTCGCCCACTTTGAGCCCTATTTTTAGCGAATTCCATTGTTCCAGTCGACCAAACTCATAACTATTTCTTTAGAACTCCACTTGTTCTATCGACTGACCACAAGAAACTGCCCATTTACCAATTTCAACTACCCAATAAAGTGGTCAGAAATTGGTAATTTGGCCAATTTCACACAAATTAAGAAATATGCCAATATCAAAACAGGGTCCAGAATGAACAATGCAGACATTCATGTCTCTAAAATAACATTTTCTTTGTTCATCATTCAAGTCTCCAGGCACCGCTGATATTACTCTTGCTTTCTATTTTGAATTTTTATTCAAATAAAAAATAGAAGATTTACTGTTATGCAGACTACTGCAATATTGTAATAATTGTATAAATAACATCAACCCATTCATGACTGCATATCAGAATGACTATTTGGACATTTATTGGACAATGACATCATTTGTTTACTCTTGAACATCGGCAAAAATCAAACATTTCCCCTACTTTAAGCTCCATTTCAAGGTCCTTTTCATAGTAAAACCAATCAAAATCACCTCTATTTTTATAATATGTTTTCCATTCTATCAAATGTGACTACAAAAATGAGAATATAACATAAAAACTATGTGAAAATTACACCTCAAAGTCGGCATTTTAATCCAAAAACACAGTCGGATATTTTTTTTTTTCTCATTATGCACTGCGTGCTGCAGGAATTTTTTTAAATGGTGCACACTGACCATACAGACCCATTCTCTCACATGTGGACCTACCAGCTTTCTCCTGCTTGATTTGAAGCCGCTAGAATTTTTGAGTATATATACGTCAAACACATTGGGTCGTAAGACGTATACATACAACCGAAATAGTCAAAAGGTTAATGAAATAAAGTGACATAAAAAAGACCTGGAAAACTCTCTCTGAAATTTTGGGCTCTAGAAAACTGTCTAGAAACAGAGAGATTAACTTAGCTAAACCAGACAAACCTCACATAGAGTCTATAGACACTGCCAATAAACTTGATGTCTTCTTTTCTACCATAGGATCAAAATTAGCAAGCAAAATCCCAAAAGCAAATACAGTGGAACCATGAATATCCGCCATAATCCATTCCAGACAGTTGGCCTAAATTCAAAGCAATATTTCCCATGAGAATTAATGTAAATACATACAATTAATCTGTCCAGACACCCAAAAATATTAACAAAAAATAATTTTTTTAAAGATTAATTATAGTTTTACATACACAAAATGATGAGAACTAAATAAAATAAATAAATGAATATTTAAATCATTATTATTATTACTATTATTATCACACTGGCCGATTCCCACCAAGGCAGGGTGGCCCGAAAAAGAAAAACTTTCACCATCATTCAATCCATCACTGTCTTACCAGAAGGGTGCTTTACACTACAGTTTTTAAACTGCAACATTAACACCCCTCCTTCAGAGTGCAGGCACTGTACTTCCCATCTCCAGGACTCAAGTCCGGCCTGCCGGTTTCCCTGAACCCCTTCATAAATGTTACTTTACTCACACTCCAACAGCACGTCAAGTATTAAAAACCATTTGTCTCCATTCACTCCTATCAAACATGCTCATGCATGCCTGCTGGAAGTCCAAGCCCCTCGCACACAAAACCTCCTTTACCCCCTCCCTCCAACCTTTCCTAGGCCGACCCCTACCCCGCCTTCCTTCCACTACAGACTGATACACTCTTGAAGTCATTCTGTTTCTCTCCATTCTCTCTACATGTCCGAACCACTTCAACAACCCTTCCTCAGCCCTCTGGACAACAGTTTTCGTAATCCCGCACCTCCTCCTAACTTCCAAACTACGAATTCTCTGCATTATATTCACACCACACATTGCCCTCAGACATGACATCTCCACTGCCTCCAGCCTTCTCCTCGCTGCAACATTCATCACCCATGCTTCACACCCGTATAAGAGCATTGGTAAAACTATACATATGTACTCTCATACATTCCACTCTTTGCCTCCAAGGACAAAGTTCTGTCTCCACAGACTCCTAAGTGCACCACTCACCCTTTTCCCCTCATCAATTCTATGATTCACCTCATCTTTCATAGACCCATCCGCTGACATGTCCACTCCCAAATATCTGAATACATTCACCTCCTCCATACTCTCTCCCTCCAATCTGATATCCAATCTTTCATCACCTAATCTTTTTGTTATCCTCATAACCTTACTCTTTTCTGTATTCACTTTTAATTTTCTTCTTTTGCATACCCTACCAAATTCATCCACCAATCTCTGCAACTTCTCTTCATAATCTCCCAAGAGCACAGTGTCATCAGCAAAGAGCAACTGTGACAACTCCCACTTTATGTGTGATTCTTTATCTTTTAACTCCACGCCTCTTGCCAAGACCCTCGCATTTACTTCTCTTACAACCCCATCTATAAATATATTAAATCATTACAGAGCATTAAATATCCAGCTAAACATATCGATAAATGGTTCACCCATTACAAGACACACTGAGGGCAAATTTCTAGGTCTCCACTTTGACTGTAATCTTAAATTTCAGACCCACATCCAGTATACGTATTTATTTATTTATTTTCTAAAACAGTAGGTATCCTTTCCAAGATGCGATACTATGTACTTTATATCACTCTCTAATATACCCTTACCTCACCTATGGTATTTGTGCTTGCGAATTTTTCACGGCCAATCACCCCTTTCAGGGTCGAGAGGACCTCTCCTAAACTTGTTCTCAGGGTCGAAAATTTTTTGGAAAAAAAAATTATTTTTTTCTTACGAAATGAAAGAGAATCTTTTTCTGATCATAATGACACCAAAAGTATGAAATCTGGTAAAAAAAACTTGCGGAATTATACTAGTAAGTTAGCAGTCTCGACGATGTTTACGGCCGAAAGTAGGGCTTAAAGTGGGCAATTTCTCCCACTTTGAGCCCTATTTTCGGCCAAGTCCAGTGTAATAGTTGATAAAAATCATAACTTTTTCGCTAGAACTCCATTTTTTCTATCGAATGAGTACAAGAAACCACCCATTTACCGATTTCAACTATCCAATAGTGGTTAGAAATTGGCAATTTTGCCAATTTCACACAAATTTCAGAAGATGCCAACTTCCAAATATGGTCCAGAATAAACAAGACAGACATTCCTGGCACTAAAATAACATTTCCTCTGTTCATTAGTCACATCCCCAGGCCCCTCTTACATTTCTTTTGCTTTCCACTTTGAATTTTTATTCTCACAAAAAATAGAAGATTTACTGTTATGCAGACTACAGCATTAGTGTAGAAATAGCATAAATAATATAAGCACACTTGTGAAAGAATATTAGACTCGCCAGTTGACGTGTATTAGATGCAAGGCATAGTTTGTTTACTTTTGAACTTTGGTAAAAATCAAACATTTCTGCTACTTTGAGCTCAATTTCAAGGTACTTTTCATTGTAAAACCAGTCAAAATCATCTCAATTTCTGTAATATGTCTTCCATTCTATAAAATGAGACCAGGAAAACTAGAATACAACAATATCATACAAAAATACAATGCAAAGTCACTGT